AATAGCAGGCGTTGTTGTTCCACTTCGATCTGAATACACACAAGCTTATTAATTTATTTATTCATTTATGGCGAAATAACATTGAAAACATGATCGGGCCGCTACGTGAAAAAAATTAGATTAATTTCATTTTAGTTCATTTCTCACAATCAGCTTTTAGGCTCTCATTTTGCATGTTACTGATGTTATGAAAATACCAAAGGTTAGCGTAATCATGCCTCTTTTCTAGCCATCTGATAATGGATATATAACAAGATATATGCCAACTGTAAGATGTTTTTGCCTTGTGATATTAATATGAACACTTATCAATGTTGAAGATTGGTGGACGTAACGTCAGCAACAAGCAACATTGAGAGCATACAAGCTGATATTTGAGAAATGAGCTCAAATGGAATTGCTCATTCAACAAAATTAATACTGAGATCCAATGATGGTAATATTGCTATCATGCGAGATATGAGAATGCAACACATGTGAAACAGACTCTTTCAAGCGGATAAAGTCAAGCAGTGAATTCCATATTGATGTTGTTAGTGTTTACATGATTACTATCATAATTTATCCTGTGTATACTTATCCAGCTACAAACATGATATTATAACCTTAAAAAAGGATGCTGATATGTTCTTTTCATGCAGTTATAATAGTACCATTAAAAGATCCCAATAATTACACTAGTAGCATCCCAATGAACAAAGTAACATATTGCAACGTTGTGAATGAATGAACAAGACCAACAACCAGTTATTATAGTTCCAAATGGTGAAGGAAGAAAGCTTTCAATGATATTTTCCACAGATGGCCATTAGAGCTCCATTGGTATTAGCGAATGTTAGCGAATTAGCGAAATAGCTGTTTATATTTATACTGTGCACTTTGAGTTTGCAGATTGATTCGGTAACACTACATCCTTCTTAATCTTTTTTTNTTTTTTTCGGAATTATCTTGATTGAAACTGGCTGTCTTCGACGCATACTTTTAAATCCAAGGATTGCAGCTGATAACATCACTGATATGTTTTTATGTGGCATCATATTATGTCCAATGCACTATCTTACTATCTCACTATCTTACTATGGCTTACATGTAAGTGATGATTAGTAGCAGTGCTAGTCCAGTTTCTATTGTGAAACCAGACTCCAGTAGATCCAGTAGAAACGTGGTGCCACTTAAGTGCTTGAATTATCTCAATTCGGAGAGGTGATTTCTGGAAAATGTAGACGAAAGTCTCCAAACTAAAAACGTTCTCCGATGGGATTTCTGATGCGCTTCAACACTCAGCACACGTCACCTCTTCGCAATCGTATTGTTCGCTTCATGCGAATTCAGCACGAAAACTTCGAATATATTGATGTTTTAGCCGTTCCACACAAGTTTCACATAAATTATCTGGATTTATTCGTTTATGAATGATCGGAGTTCGTTAAGGGGTTTTTGTTTGCTTTTTTTTNTTTTTTTTCTTCTGAACTGCGAGGTTTGGCAAAAGCACTAATCCAATTAGGTAGTTTATTTATGCACCACTTTCATAAGCGCTCATGATTGGTTAGGACGGCATAATTTTAATAATTCAAAAACTGAATACACAGCTAGTGTACACGTATTGATTTTACGTAATTGATTGATTTTGAATAATCTATTGGAATTATGATCCTCACAAGTGCTAGTGTCTTTTTTTGATGTATTATCTCAGCTGCTCTATTTCAGTTTGGATGTGCATTTTACTGCTTATGTGTCTTTCATTAGAATTTGTTTCTCTCATTTTGTTAGAGCGAAGCGAACGCTTTGGAAATTCAGTTTGAAATTGAGCTTAAACCTTGATTTTGAAGCGAATTATCAGTTTCAGACAAAATTCCACTATGTTTCTACTCCATTAATGCAATTGTACAATTTAAGGCATCCTTTTAAACAGTTGTTGATTATTCGTTCATCATCTTTGGTCCCTTTACACGTATTCGATCGTGGGCACTTTTGCTGGGCGCTACTGCGCGCATGTGCTTAAATAACAGCTTTGCCCCATGTGTAGCTATGCAATTCGAAGTCGAATCAGGAGTATGCTTAAGCTTAGAATTACGCTTAGACCAGTGATGAGGCTAACGCATCGGCCTCGACTTATGTATGAAGCGTATGAGAACACGAGCATCTGTGGCGCCCGTTATCAGCAAAAGTACGTGATATTGGATGAGGTAAAAGTGTTACTTTCAGGCAGAATTGGTAATATAGATTTGTGATCGCCAGGTGCTAGCAAGTAGTGAGTTATGGCTTTACCACCACGTTTCCCAGGAATGATACCCGCTTACGGTTCGGTACCTTTGCCGCCTATGGCGCCACTGAGTGAGTTTATTCTCGTTTTCATTCACTTCATTTATTTCATCTGTCTTAATCTTTCGTTTGTTCGTTTACTTAATCGATCAGTTTTAACAACTCATTGGTATGTTTGCTTCTGCGTCACGACAAAGTGTGGATGTTACTTTTCATTTGTGTTTTTCATTCAACACATCCAACGACGTTCAGCTTGAAAAACCTTCAGGCTTCTTGATATCCAATCTTAAATCTGTCAATCTTCTTAGTGAAATGTATTCTATAGTGCGTTGCTTCATATTTCAGTTCTGACATAATCCATTTTCCAACGTTCCATTTTTAAACTAACTCGTTTTCAGTTGGGATGTTGCGCTGCGTTGAGGTTTTTTTCGATAGCCATGAAATAATTCCGTATAGCGATATGAAAATTTCATTGCTTTTCATGAATTTCTGATTTAATTCTTTTCTTTGATATATCATCAATTTTACTCCCTCGATTTGCATCTTCATGCCTTAATGATTACAATTTTCGAATAAATTTGAAGCATTTCTCGCCGAATTATTATCTTGCTGAACATCTTTCGTCTGATAGAGTTTCTTTGCGTTTTCTCGGAAAATCGGAAGCCCTGTCTCTGTCAGATGCAAATGAATGCTATCATTTGCGTGAGTTACCTCTGAAGCACACTTGAGAATATTCGAGTGTTTGAATTTGAATGATGCAGGAAAATTATATTCGAATTTAGTTTGAGATTTTCAATAAATTTTTCTATCGAAAATACTCCTTCTCGAAATTTTGAAATGATGTTAACGAATTCATCTTTGAATGTTATTTTACTAATGAATTCCGACGGGACTTTGGGTCTTTTTTATCTCGATGCATCAACTGGAATTTTTCTCGTGAATCGTTTTTTTGATAATTTTCAACATCAGTATTCCCAGTTTTCATCATTATTCATCTCACCATCTATGGATTCGTTGATCGATTTAGTTTAATTTCTGTCATCCAAGAAAACCAGAAATTGCGCAATTACTCAAAAATTCTTACCCCTTGGTGGTTCGAAAAGTTGAATCGTCGTAAATTGAGAGTTTTTTAGTATCTCGTTCATCGAGCTGTTTATGACGGATTTTTTTTGAATTGGAATGACTGGAAAAGAAAACATTGTTGGAAAATGAGAGGAATTTAAGATGAAATCGTTCATAGGAAGTTGTTTTGTGGATTATGAGTTATTGGTGGCACTTTTAGTTTATTATCATTACTATTAACATCATTATTGATGTATCCGTTGCTATTCTTACATTTATTATTATTACTGTGTTATCTTTTACAGTGTACTGTTGTCGTTGCAAATTAATTTGTCAATTAATTTATCATTGTTGGTAGCACAGCGCTATTAGCGTTTTTATTCCTTCTCCAAATCGAGTCATTTAACATGATCTGAGAGCGTGTTGCCTTTCATGTTGCACTATTGCTTGCATATTTTTTTGCACGGCAATGACACATTCAAACATTCCACAGATGATGAAATAATGCAAGATTTTCATTCAGAAGCTTCAAAAACGATGTGATGTTTTTCATAGGCATTGCTTGAGGTTTTTGGAAAGCAGAACGGAATGTGATTCCACTCGCACTCACCTTACTAAGTGCCAATTCCCAAGCAACATCTGAAATGCTATAGAATTTTTGCATGGAATACCAAGCAGAAAATCTCGAAGCATGTCAGACGCAGACGTTGAAAGCAATCTTCTTGCGATTATCGATGTATTCTGACTAATTAATGTGGCTTCATGTACATTTTTTTTCTGTGGTTACTCGAGCTCTTTAAGTTTCGCGTGCGTCTTTTGTTCAGGAATTAATCTGGCATAAAAATGTGCGATGATCAGATGAGATATTTTTAAACGAATAACCACTGGTATTGGTATTTGATATTGTTTATTTCGTCTTACTGAAGCATGCTCTTATCTCGTCTTAAAGTTATAGTAGGACATTCTATCGATGTGTTTTTATGTACGTGCATGTCAGCTTATGGATGCTTTTACATCAAATATAGCTAATTTAGTTTTTGTCCTTAACTTACACTGTCTGCCTGCGTGCCTCAATCTCTAACGCCTTCCATTTCGTAGTTGATTTTTGAGAGTGTCATCTATCTGTACGTGTTTATGTATGTTGTCCATGCGTCGTGGCTTTATTATTTCAGCTGGTACCACAAAAGTTTATGTGTATTAGTATCGTACACTTGTAGTCTTTTACAAGTCATAGACTGCTTATAGAAGCGTGACACATGCTGTGATATGAATGAATGCGTTGCGTTTTAAAGAATTATCCACCAGATGTGGGATTGTAATGGTTGCTGCTTATGCATGGTTACTACTAACACAGTGATGTCCCACATCATGTTCAGCTCGATAGGCACCTATCTATCTATCTCTCTCAGTCGTCTTACTCTTGTGAGCTTTTGAGCTTGGCTGTCTTGCTCTTTATCTTAGAGATGCATTTCAGCCTTGGAGCTAGCAGCAGCAGCTCATTGAGGTGTTCATCCCCAAATCAGTCTTCATTCTCTTGTCTTTTGCTTTGTAACATCGCAGTGACGTAAAGTGAATACTGAATGCGCACTGAATTATTAGAAATCAAATTGAGTGACAATGCAATTTGGAATGACGGAATCAGAATGTTATTGGAATTCCTCAAATGGAATGTCATGGATTTGTTCGCGTCTTTTTATTGCATTGTTTTCATTGGTATACTACGAAGAAATTTTATCTTTGCAATTTGTTTTTCATGGCAAATATTTATTTTGAGATTCACAATCAGTAGTAACAGTTTTTAAGTGTTCATATTTCGTTCATAGCCAAATGTACTCGGAACTTACTTTTTATGTCGGTAAATAGCTATAAGCTAATTTGAGTTTGTATAACTTCATGTATCGCTCCGCTTGCGAACAGCCGATTATCTATTAGTAAAATGCTGACCACGCATACTTTGTCTTGATTGACGTGATAATAATAAGCTGTTCTCATCCGCAGAGAAGCCAAAAATCTTGACGGAATAGCTGGATGTTTAAGAGACATGTGTGGTATTCATTATTTCACATCTCTTTCCTAGTGCGCAACTTTGAGTCATACTGAAGCGTCTTCTCGATATGGGAGGAAGTGGGTAGTGGGAAACTAAGCACTCTTATCGTCTCTGTTACTCATTTTCCTGTTTTTGGCCTTGAACTTAAACGAATTCCGTAGCATGGACTATATCTGAAAATTAGTCAGTTGGTTGTACATCGAGAAAATGATTCGAAACAAAATTATAATCTCTTTTGCGGATTTTTTTTTGAGCAAGGAGCGAATTTGATATTCTAAATCTAATGAGATGTTGTGAGTATGTGACGAAATTTGATTCCTTCCTCTCGAGAATGAATAAGTATATGGTGGATGTGTCCATGTGCATGTTTGTCTTCGTATCTTTAATCCCCATAATGGTTATTTTCTGCTTTTTTTCTAATATCGAAGCTCCAACGAAGCAGGCAAATAAAGGCAATAAAAGCTTTCCACATCAATTAAATTTATTTGTTAGTGTCCTTATGCCCTCCTTATAAGCGTGTAGCGAATCTATCCAGAGGAGTCTACGGAATCATATACGATATAAGCAGCTGATTGCGTGTGTTTGCGTCTATAATAAATCTATTTTTATCTGCATTTTTGCACATTTGGATTTGTTAAGGGGCAATTATATGGACTGATGATTATTATCATTGTTGTAATTCTATAATGATTATGGTTATTATTATTGGTTCATGATTAATATTCAATGCCGTTGATTTGACTGAAATTTTGAAAATAAGAATGGATTATATTGATTTTATTTGTATGCTGGATGCAGCTGCAAAACTTTCGACAGTGGTTTTGCCGGGCAAGTTGTTATTTTTGGGTTATTGTTGATTTTGCTGTCATTGCCGAGAGCTATTAAATTTTGCTCGGTGAAAGAGTTGTAGCTGTTAATCAGCGTTGTGCATATTGAGACTAAATGGATAAGACTTATCCAACCTCTCATAAGGAAATGATCGGTTTGTCTACGTAGGAGTTGATTTATCATAAGGAGTAATGTACTAGAACAATAATTGATAATCCAGGAGCAGAGGCGCATTTCGCAATTTNTTATTATTATTATTATTATTATTATTATCACCATCATACAATCTTATTAATATTCGTCGTCTAAAAATTTTATTATCTGTATTTGCAGTGTCCTTTCCGAATCCGTACTTTATGCCGAACCCATTAATGGCTGCTGCGGTGAATTCACAGCGTATGGCTGCGCCGACTGCACCGCAGTCTAAGGTGAGCAATGATTTTGAGAGAAGGAAACTTTTTCGATAGTACTCAATGGAGATGTTATTTTTGCAGTAATTAACATTTGATATATCGACATTTCTTATGTATTTTAACATTTCTTATGTGGTATTCTGAATGATAATGAATGTCGAGTTTCATCTTTGTGTAGTAGTGTGCTCAGATGTTTGATTGTAACAATAATGATTACAGCCACCCGAAAAACCGCCTGTCACGACGGTATTTGTGGGTAATATAACAGACAAATGTAGCAACGAGTTGATTCGTTCAATATTGAGTGTAAGTTTTGCTTATTGTTGCTTCCTTTTTTCACATGATTCCACGAGTTGGCTTCGATCTACGATTGGCGAATCATTGTAAAAGCATAAATATTTTATTATAGAATGTTTTTAATATCTTTTTCGATTCAATTCAAGGAATGCGGCGCAGTTGCAACTTGGAAACGAATTCAAGGATCGAATGGTAAATTTCAAGCATTTGGTTTTTGTGAGTTCGAAAGTCCGTACGGTACAATGCGTGCTTTGCGTATTCTTCATGATTATCAACTTGCTGAGAGGAAGCTCGTTGTTAAGGTGAGTAGTTTTTTATGTGGTTTTTTTTTGGTATTTCAAAGGTATGAAATGTTGTGGAGGAGTGATTAGATAGATGGTTTCGAGGGGCTTTTTCTAGTGAACATCTGTTTGGAAATTTCACGCGTCCTTGATGAAACGTTGAATCTGATGAAATTTGAATAAGGACATCTAATGAAAAGTTGACGAATCAAGCAATGTTTCTGTATTCTTTGACAGATTTATGCATGATTGAGACTAAAACTCATTATTTGGTGTTCATATTTGGTGAGTGGCTGTGGGAATTCTTGGTAGTCTGTACTGGTGAGTCGAAATTGCCGAGTTGGTACTGAGAAGGACAAGCGCGAGCCGTAATTTGGCATTTAGTGTGGGATAAATTCGTTGGATTTTTTTCCTGAAAATAGTTTAATTGAGTGTAGCATCTTGACACTTTGGTTGATAGAGTGATTTAGCAGTCACGTCGTTTGGATATGATAGAGCTCCAATGTGAAAAACTGTAAATATATGATAGAAGATAATTTAAAAAGAGTACTGATCTGATTGTTTTCAGATTGATGACAAAACACGCACAATGGTAAAGGAGTATGTTGCGAAACAGCGAAATGAGAAGGGGTTATCAGCTGAGCAATTGTCCGGTGATGAGATGCCAGCTGATGAAGAGAATGCGGCTGAAGATGAAGTGACTCGACAGAAGATTCAAACTCTAATCGAAACGGATGCACCGAATCTTTTACCTATTGAAGGTCAAGGTGAACCAGTTTTTCATTCGAGAGACATATCACTTTCAAATTGGTTTATTTTTATTCTCATCTTCGATTTGCTTATTGGAGGATTCTGTGTATTGTTCGTCGAGATAGAAATCTTGGTATCCTCAATATGTATTTCAGAGGGTGAATTGGATGAAAAGACACACTCACCTGGGGCCGAACGTTCGAGGGTAAGTTGAGGGATTACCTTGTTCTGTTTTTTTTTTTGATGTATGGAAAGACCTACTGAATTTAGGTGAACTGCTGACAGGTGTTTAGGTGTTTCCTTGGTCCATTTTAATGTTACTTTTGACGGCTGCTTCAATTTTGAAAACTAATTGCATGATTTGTTGTATTACTCTGGCTTTATTGGTTGTTTGTTGCGTTATGATTGTACTCGTTCATGATGAGATGTTGTGGTACTATCGAGTAATATTGTCACTTTTATGAATCAGCATGAAATATAGCGGTAATATTCACAACAATAGTAGATGCCATTGTGAGGATTGGAAGATGTAAAGTGGTTATTTGTTAAAGGAAGCTTCACATGATCGAGATCGAGAACGTGAAAAGGAAAAGGAACGCAGCGAACGACTGGAAGAGAAACGAAAAGATAGAAAGGTGGGTTTTGCAAGAGATTAACCACATTTTGTGACATAGATAAATATAATCAGTAATACAGTCAGTGAATCGTCCAGATGGCATGATGGCATTACATATGGTTTTATTTTGCGTAAATATAAATGTGGCGGAGTTAACGAATACGAGTTTTCATTTCCTTTTTATATTTCAATGGTTGAAGATATAAACAGCTGGCTAGATACATGAAATAATAGATGAGAATGTTGTTGGCGATTTGCTGTTGCGGGATGCAAGGCTATAAAATAGAATCAGTCGGTATGGAATGAAGGAAATATTGAGTGAGTTGAGCGGAGATGCTAGTTGTAAGGTGCTTTTAGCGTTTTTGCTGGAGATCAGACTGATTTGATATGATCAACGGATTTTTGTTTGGTCGATTAGACTGATGATACACGCAGTCGGTGAGTGAGTCAATCGCATGATGACGGAATCATGCATTGTGCTCAGCTCAGATATAGTAGAATGCCACTTCTTCATGAATGCGCTCTAATTTGAGCGTAAATGCGAAACTGATAATATGTGTATAGGAATAAATCGAATGCTGAAAAGGGATTGACGCATAACACGAAATCGAGTGAGTAAGTTGATCGTTTTTGAAGATATTTTATTATTATTATTTATTATTATTTATATGCTCATTCATCATCTCACACTAACCGTATAAGCGCGTCTTCTTTTTTTGTTTGTTTGTTTCGTTTTTCAATGATTCACTCCATTTGTTTTTCTCTTCTGTTTGATCCACTGAGCGATTGATTGATTGATCGACCGATTGATTGATTGGTTGATGGATGAATACACGCACAAATGGGCAGAGCGGATATTTCAGAAGTTTTTGTCATATCCAAATTTTTGATATGAAAATGGTTTTGATCAACAAAAATCCAAAGAATGTTCAGTAAAAACTTAAATTGTTATCTTTTGTGCTGATAGAGCTCAGTGACAGTGAGTGTGGATCTGCGCATTTGTGTTGTATTATCCGTCAACGTATCGTACGTCTGTCTGTCTCTTCTGCTGTTCATCAAACAATTGGCAGACTCGTTGAGAATTAGTCAAACATTTTTTGTTGTTTTTTGAAATGTTTTCGTTGATGTTTCAATGTCCGTGTTTTTGTTTCCGTCCAGTTTTCATTCTGCTTACGATTGGTTCTTTTAGATCATGTGATACTGTTACTTCACATCTTCATTTTTCTGGTACGTTCTTTTGCAATCGCTAAACGCTATTCGCTGTATACATTTACTAATCGTTTGCTTAGGCTTTGTCTTGATTATCTGATTACAAACTCATTCACTGTTAATAACAATAATCAACAGCCTTGATTGCATTCAAAATAGTGACGATTATTGTTGACGATGATCGTTATGATCGTTAAGAATTGTGGTACTCATCAGCTGTCTGCCGACGATTGCTCTGCTCTTTACACCGATCATCAATCCTGAGTAATTTCCGTTAAGTTCACATGCGGATGGATGTTGTTTTGTGAGTTCAAGCAACTCAATCTCGTTATTCTTTGACCAGATGAAATTTTTTCATATCTCTGTTCATTAGCGAACTCAAATCATCGATAACATTGATTATTTTAGTTATTGTTATGTTCATATTATTATTCTCATTGTCGTTTTCCTCGAGGAATGTCTCTTTTGTGCATATAAATTGCTGAATCATTGCTTCAACTAATCAGGTTTGTCCACGGAACTGTTACTCATAACGCTTTCGCTGTCAATTTCTGTATATGAGGGAAACTAATAGCATCTTCATGCATCCATCGTTTTTTTTTTTAAACTGCTTGCTTATCGATTGTATGACGTGGAAAAAGATTTAGATTCGCGATTTCTGAGGTTGTGAGAATTAAGTTCACGATAGCTGATAAGGCTAAATAGCTAGCGACTGATAATTTGCTAGTATCTTTTAAAACTATTTAAACTTTTCTTGAAACTCGCTATGATACCCTGTCATTCAGAGTAGAACGTATGTGTGTAGATAATCTACCATTTTAACGTCATTCTAAATAATAACAGTAGAAAGAGATTGTTCGTTGATCGAGTTTTGCTTGTACAAAGTTACGCTATTTGATTGGAACGAAGAATTTGAGGAAATAAAATTTTAGCGTTCATATGCATGGGGATTGTGATGTGTTGTTATTTACTCTAACAGTTTTTGTGTTTGATCATTTGGTGGTTGGTTTCACGATTGATATATCGTTCTTTTTCAGTTACCTCACGTATTTTCCATCGTAGATTTGTTGATTAGTTTTGTAATTTTGTTTTCATCGATAAAATGCCACTGGTTTGCCAGGAATATCCTCGCCGAAGAACTGGTAAGGTTTTGAGTTTGCTTTTATGCATCGCTTTCAGTTTCGTTTTTTGTGAATTTGTAATTGATCATTTGATTTTTTGGCGGTGGAATACTAATCGTAACATTGAAACATAAAGCAAGGAATGTTCGTTGCGTTATATGGTGTGTGTTCGTCGTATTATATGTTTGNGTTTGTTGTTGTTGTTAATGTTATTGTTATTCTCATTACAATAATTATTATTATTATCATCATTGATTAAATTGAATAATTTTAGGAAACTGAGCAAGGTAAGTAAGATTCTGCGTTTGCTTGCTGTGCTATTTTCAATCATTCATAAATTCTTTTTTTTGTTTTGCGTCCGGTGTTGTTTAGTATAGAAGACAAGGCTGTGCTAAATTGACTGCTTAGCGCACAAAATTCAGCGATCTTCATAATCTGCTTTTGGATGTTAGACTGTGTCGGTAGCTGCAGACTAAGCGAATTCATTTCATCCGCTGTTGATCTGCTGCTATTAATTACTACTTTTTTTGGAACCACTTTTTTGCATACCATAGGAAGATTTTGCATTTAATATTAGGCACAGTTCGCTAGACTAGATGCAGTTCGACCAGTAGGCGCGACTCATCCGCTGAAACTAGGAAGCAAAATTCTTAGGAAGTGTGATATCATTCTACGAAGCGCTTAGTCTTATTTGCGTTCAATTATTGTAGATTTTTGTTTTCGAACAATATGCAATGTATCAGCACAATTTAAAGGGGAGATTGGAATGAGGATGGTAATAGAATTAGGATTCGTTTAATGAAATAACTGAAAGTGTTTTTGAGAAATCAAAATCTAGATTTCAATTCACAGTTGATTTACAAATGATTGCAAGTTGTTTGAGTCAGTACTGAGTCTGGGTTTGAGTCAGTACTACTCTCTCAAAGATTTTTTTTCATTCCTCAATTTTCAGTTATCATTTTTCACAAAATTTTTTCGCACTCTTTGCTTCAGCTTTAGCATTGCATTTTGTGCACATATTCAATCTTCATCCTTTTCTATAATCTTTACTTTTTTTCGCAATTTTAATGGAATTTCTAGTTTGATATGTGATTTATAGTAGTTCCTCTTCCTTGCATCTTTTCTGTGGCTTTAATTTTTGTGTTTCCATTTCAACATAAGAGAAAAGATTTCTGTAGTAGTTTCCATGTTCCCAGAATAGTTGGTTACTGATTTTTCTTTTTTTAGAATGGTCAAAAATTTTGGAGTGTTAGATTTTTTTATGAGGTGGAGGGTAAAGGGTGGTAAGAAATGAAATTTTTCCGTAGCAGTATATAGCTCAATTTCGTTTAACAGCTGGACAAATTGTTGTTACCATAGGCGAAACATGTTCTCNTGATCGTTATTGAATAAGTTTGGTCTCATATTATTCATTTATAGAATTATTGCTCTTGTATTATGGTGGTTCTAAGGTTTGCTTTTACTTTTTCTTCAATTTATTATTATTATTATCGTTATCATTATCGTTTTTTTTTCTCAATTTCACGTTTGCATTTTATAATATTTACGTATATTTATATCTAATCCTTATCGCAAAACCTGAAAATCGACAATATCACACAAATAGTATTGTGAGTAGAGTCCATGACGTTCACGCATCGATTCTGGTAGTACCAGACTCGATATGATATGATGTCCAGTATTGACTAACCTTCCAGCATGACGATCACATGTTTTATTCCGACGAATACTAAAAAGTCGCAGCTTTGCAATGTTTACCATAACCTTAAGTAATGACGATACTTGGCGTATTTTTGGTTTTTCATTAAACAAACGTTTTTGAGTGTCTGAATGAGTTTTGAAAATCTCATGTGGTTGTGTTATCATGGAATGTTGCAAAATAGTAATGATTCATGTTCCGAAGCAAAAAGTGTTCAGATGGGAGTTTTGTAGCGATGTGTTTGGTGATACATTGATTAACGTTTTGCTGTGTTTACTCTACGAATCATTCCTAGAAATATCATTCAGTTGTAATTAAGAAGAAATGAATTTTCATCGTCATTTTTTCGCGTTATTCATCTACTCGACGTTTAATGTATTCAAGATTTCTATGTTTTTAACTGATAGCATTAGAGGAAAGTTTTGGTTGATCGATCATTTATCGGAGAAAGCAAGGCTTCTTGTTGATCGCTAGGATGGGAAAAGTTCTGTAATGAAATGAGATTAGTTTGAGGGAGTAAATCGCTCGAGGACCAGAAGGAAGAATTTAGGTGATAGTAATTGCAAGGTAATAAGGGAAATGGTNATAAAAGATAAAAGAATGATAAAGTGATAGTTATGATAATAATAATCTGTGATCTGCTGTGCTATGAAATGTGCAATGATGTGAGACATGATCGATGGATGATATAATCTCCATCTCGTTATTATTAGAATATTCTTGTTGTTATTATTGTTCCTAGTATATTTGATATTAACAATAAGTGAGCAGTAAGTGGGCATGTAATGATCGAGTGATAATGTTTGGGTTTTGTTGAGTTGATCTCTTCAATCGACGGTGATCATTTTCATGATTTTTATTTGTGCAATGAATTCAGGAACAAGATGATAGACGCTCCTCACGACGAAGGCATCGTTCGCGGTCTCATTCTGGCAGTAGAGATGGTGGGTACAGATCTCGTAAACGAAGTCGTAGTGATAGTGATAGAAGTACAACAGTAAAACGGTGAGTTCTTTGGTTTCATATTCGAAACTGATGCGAAGTTGACGAATATTTTCATTGCGATTTATGATATGATAAAATTGTTATGATCTGATGATGTTAGCGCAACCTTGCCTTGTTGTTTGTAACTATCTGTTATCAAGTGGTAATGATCAGATCGGAGTGTCCGTTGAATTTTATTTCGGCTGAGGCTTATTCCGGGAATCATATGTTTTTGTTTGGTCATCTGTTTTTTGATCAATTTTTGTTTGATCAATACCTCATCCTGGTATGACAGAACTGATTGTTTTTTGAATAGATACATCCAGCTTCGGTGTGATTCTAAGGTTCAAGGTAATGTACTGCGATATCCCGATCCGGTTATCGCCACGTTCTACTCTTTAGCTGCAGTGGCTTGATAGAAGTTGTTCCTAGTTGTGATACATAAGTAGTAGATGGCTGAACCAATTCTCTAACAATCTCCTCATAGAGAGCTTCGTTGTTCCGTTTGATTATTTTGTGTTGCGACGTTTCTTCGTGAAGTGATTCCCCGCTTGTTAGTGCAAAGTTTTGCGTGTAGATCAGATTAGAAGATTTGATCACTGACTTATATGTATGATCATCGATTTTGTGATGTTGATGGAGCAATAGACTTGATGAAAGTCGGCACTAAGTTTGCTGTCTCTCTCAGAAGTCGGCGTCGTTCATCGAGTAGCAGGAGTGGCTCAAGCGGTAGTTCGAGCAGTTCTTTCTCGGATAGCAGTTCATCGAATCATTCCGGCAGTCATGCTCGAAAAGCGTTCAGATCACATTCTCCAAGCAGGTTCGATCGCTTGGTCGCTTATGTTTTTGAGCATTCTCCCATTGAATCGACGATGCTTTTGAATGTTTTAAAGTTATGACCCTTTTAAGACTTAAGCTAATCCTGTAAGATTATTACAGCGCGAGCGATCTCTTCAACTTTAATGAAATATCATAATGTTTGTTTGTCGGGTATCTTGATTTTTATTGCATTTTTCTCGTTATTTTTAACTTTTTCCAGCAAGTTATGAGTTCGTGTTACATCGTCGATTTTTCAGAGATCGAGAGTCAGAGGATAGTGATGAAATACGTGAACGGAGAGCATTACGTAAACAGGTTGGTTTTCATTTTGGTTAAATCAGACGTTCTTTTCAGTGATGATTCAACCCTATCTACTGTACTGTTTATTTATTTTTGTTAATAAGTGAAGAAATCAGTACTTGTAATCAGATGTTTTGATATGTGCACCTGTTAGCAATACATTAACATTTATGGGATTCATCGTAGATGAAGTGGTGATTCGCATCGAAGGAAATCTGATGTACTTAAGCGATATATTATAATTTGTGAAACCCTCACTGATTTGTGATAATATGTGAAAGTTTAATTTCAGATACGTGAAAAAGAGGCAGCTTATGCGGAACGTTTACGTAAATGGGAGGCGCGTGAAAGACGTCAAGCGAAATTGTACGAAAAAGATGAGCAACGAGAGAAACAAAGAAGACGTAGCATGCAAAAAGAGGCAAAAAAACTGAAGCACTTCCTCGAGGATTACGACGATGAACGTAACGATCCCAAGTATTACAAGTATGTGAACGGAAACACTTATTTGGACTGTTGTTGCAAACATGAAATATTTTGTTTTATAGGAAGCTGAAGAGAATTTTTGGTTGGAGCAAAATTCTTTTGAAAATATTTTTGGAGTTTTTGAAGCGTTTCAATGATTGAAAAGGATGTGAGTCAAATAAGTTAAGAGGACTGATGTGTCATGTTCTTGTGTAGAATGCAAGTGTATAAGCTGTGGATCGTAGTTTGATGTTATTGACTGATTGAAGGAGTTCATCACTATTCCAACGGCGAAGAGATTTCGAGCGTGAACGTGAAGCGGACGCAAAGGATCGACAACGTGAACAACAGGAAATCGAAGAGTTGAAGAAACAGATTTTGGCTGAAAATGAGAACATTGAAAATGCAGATGAAGAGGCGAGACGCAGACATCAGGAACAAGTTAGTAATGGCTTGATTTCATCTGATATCCGATCCAGTCATCTTGTTTGGCATTATTTGGAATCGGTTTAATCTTTTTTTCTGGGTATCTTTGCGATGTTTTCAGTTTGTTGAACGGTTTGCAATACCTCATGAAAATTTGATATCTGGTTGAGAGTATCCATGAAAATTTGAAATGTATGTTCCCAGTAGCATTAATATGAGTTCATATCGTTCGCATTTGTGAGCTTGTCATCTGATATTACTGGTATAAGCCATGCAATTTGATATCGTATTCTCGTTTACGTTTGCAGTGCTTCGTTATGAGTTCATTTTCCATTCCGACTAGATGTCGCTCTTCCACATTGAAATTGTTATTAATTTTTTGAATTTCTTACTTCGCGGGGTCAATTTTTTACAAGGTATTCCTGGATAATGTTTGTATCGTTCGGTTTATTTGCATTCTACCACTGCAATACGGCTGATGAGTGGATGGAAGAAAAAAGCAATGAATTAATTGTAGGAGGATGCGTTGATGCGGAAATTGCGTGCTGATTCTGGAAGTCCGAACCCACATCGCCCGCTCGGTCAGAAGCCTTTACCAGTTGAAGAGGAGAAGGAGGAAGAAGACGAGGAAAGTGAGGATTCTGAAAGTGATTCCGAGAGTGAAGCGAGTGTAGAGGGTGCTGAGACTACGGCTGATAAGGCGAATGCCAACGCCACTGAGAAACCAAGTGCATGGAAAGCTGGTCAGTTTATTATTGTGGTTATTAATATTATTGGTATTGTGTTCTGATTTAGTTATTTTTTCTCATTTCTCGGAATTATTTTTCGACCGGTCTCATCTGAATTTCAGAAAAACAGTTTTGTTTTTTGTTTGATCAAGTTGTCAAGGTTTCTGTGGGCGATGTAGTAACGGAACTGAACGCAAGTGAACATTTGATCTAACGTTGATTATTCATGAGTTTCAATAGAACTTTGAGTTCACAGTTATTAATATTTGGTGGTATTTCACCAGATCGTTTTCTTATGCATGGCACGGTGAATGCTTATCGTTCGTTCGTTAATATGCTTCAGTGTAAATATATCTGCGAGGAGAATTCATTCAGCGATAATGTGGTAATCTGAAAATTGTGAGTATAAATGAAGCGAATGAATGTTAATGTTTTAGTAACCGCATCCGAAGGAAGTGTGGTCGGTGGAACGTCACCGTCAGTGAGTTTAGTGGCATCACCGTCAATGCGATCCTCATTAGCTGCAAGTCCAGCGAATGCCACAGCACTGATACGACCGGGTATTGCTGGGAGTACGTCGCAGGATAGCGTGATAGGCGTGCAATCTGCAAACGCAAAGCAGTCAGCGTCGAAACTGAACGGTATATTCGGTTTTGAGGATAATGATGATGATACGGCGTACAGGAAGGGAAAGAAACTGAAACGATTTGAAATCACCGAAGAGGTTCGTTTGATTTGCGTTGTTGCTGAGTTGTTATGATCACTGTGAATATTTTTGTTGCTTATGTGTAAGTAGTTATTGATATTGTTTTTGTTGTTGTCGCTGTTTTTAAAAAATTTTTGTCGCCGTTATCATTATTTGTTTCCGTAAACGTTATGATTTTAGGATCGAATCCAAGCAATGACGCCAGAAGAACGTAAGCAGATGATCAAAGATCTCATCGAGCGTATCCCAACAGCCAAAGATGAATTATTTTCGTTTCCCATTCATTGGAATTATGTTGATAAATCTTTAGTCGATCAAAGGGTTGGTTTTGTTGTTCAGCCAATCGCTTAATTTTGGTCATTGTTCAAGAGAAAGATAGTTCGTTGTGAAATTATTCTGAGTGGAATAATTTGATGTATCATCTTTTTTCTTTTGAAATTGATTCCCTGCATTAAATGTTTTCGATATTCCAGGTGAAACCTTGGGTTTCAAAGAAGATAACTGATTATATTGGGGAAGAAGAAGCGTCATTGGTGGATTTTGTATGTGAAAAAGTTATCTCGAAAACTGATCCACAGAAAATTCTATCCGACATTGCTATGGTGAGTTGTTATCTTGGTTCATAGTTCGAAGAAGCTCATTTATCATGTCATCATATTAATGGCTCTATTAGCAAATTGATGACAGTGGTAATAGTGAAATTGTTATGTGGTGATGCTGCCGGTGGAGACAGTCATAATGCTGTATAGTATCCAAGATAGCGGTGGTAATGTGCAGAGATGTTTCTCTTGATGAATGTATGTATTTTCAGGTATTAGACGACGAAGCTGAAGTGTTCGTCGTGAAAATGTGGAGGTTATTAATTTATGAAAGTGAGGCGAGGAAGTTAGGATTATCGAAAAAATGATTGTTTCGTTTGTGTTCAGTTGAAGTGATGTGTATCAACAATAATATTGACAGTATTATCTATCGCAAATTGTGGATTTATTGAATCACTGAAATGTGTATTAGAACAATTTTTGTCCTGCATTAATCCGGTCTCCATATTGTTATTATTCCACTGCGTGAAAATAATCCGTCTCAGTTGATTTTATCGTATTTCTCAGAAATTTCATCGCATTCGATTCGTTTTTTTTTTTTGATTTTTCTTCCACTTTCGAATTGATACCTATCAAATTGGATCGTTTTTTTTTGGTTAATGTTCTTACATAATAGAGTTGATTAGAACAACTGGTTCATTCGTATTGTTTTTCTTGTGTCATAGCTGTTATTTTTGTTCTGTAAAAGGTTGCTTTGAAATGAGATTATGGAAGAGTTTTTTGTTTCGTTGTGTTTTAAGTGAAATGCAAATCTTGTTTCCAAGCAGATTATTGTTCATTGCAAGCAAACTGTTTACGTCCATTAGTTTTTTCATAATATTGCTATATTGTATTTATTGTTTGACTGGGTATGTTTCGTTGTTGATGGCTCATCTCATTTTTCAATTATTTTTGTTTTCATTTCATCGTCAGATCGTATCTGTCAATTCAGTCATGTTCCCATGTTTGGTAATCACTTCTGTGAAGAAAAAAGGAGAAATTGATTCGACCAATAGTAAGTGTATTATATGGTTATCTAAAGGAATAATGTTGAATGTGCATTTTTTCTCTTCCAAATTTCAATTAGTTAAGCATGCCGTTTTTAATGTTTTACCTAGTCGCATAGTCAGTTAATCCCAATGAATCATTGTGACGTCTAAATTGTGGTCATCGATCACTGATCTATTTTATCTCGTAGTTCAATTTCGTTGTTGGTTTCAGAGAGAGATTTCTTAAGATTAATGCTTAATATTTGAATGTTTCGAGCTTGGATTTTAGATTTTCAATGGAAAGGGGAGAAATGCACATGGTAATTTGCTTGTTTACATTCACTTATTGGTAAGAAATGTTTACATTCACTTATTGGTAAAATTTTGCAGCAAAATACTTTTTTGTGAGAAATGTATGGAAAAAAACGTCTGAAGTTTTCCATCATTACTGTAAAAGTTCCACCTCCGTCGTGTCTTTTTGAGAAGTCGAATTTATTCATTTACCTACACACACTTTCGAAGATGTTTTTGTTGTTGTTGCTGTTGTCAGGCAAGGTAAATGTCTCCATTCAAAACAATTCAATGATCTGTGGTTCGTTATCGTGTTTTTTGAGTCATCTTACAATTAATATTTATTGACATTCTTATGATAATTTATTATCGTGTTGTTTGTTTTTGTATGCAAATGATGTTCTTCTGTTCGTTGACTGTGTCGGTATTTTCGTTCCGTTTTGAAATGTATTTCTAAAATTTCTGATTGAGTTGAGGAGGCTGGGAGTGTCGGTGTTCACAATTTGGGAGGTGGAAGTGGTTCACTGAACTCATTTATATGTTCCGTAAAATTGTCTCATAATCAGTTCTGTGCAGAGTAAAGAAGGCAATTATTCTTGTCATGATGATTGTTCATTTTGTTGTACTAACATTGTTTTTTCAACAGTTTTCATTATTCAATTCCATTCTGTGTCTAATGTTACTTCTGTTATTATTCTACCACATCTAGGGCTGCACCAAGTGTGTAATTGTCATTATTTTACGCTGGTCCTGAAGGACGATTGTTTGTTGGTTGGTTGAGTGACTGTAAAAATGAGTAATGAGTGCGTATTATGTTCTTTGTTGATTCGTTTTGTTTTGTTTCATCGTTTTACGTGAATGAACACATTGATTTATGCGTTGTTCGAGTACTTCACATCAAGAGCAATTTCTGTTTGCCATATTATCTTGGTCCCTATCTATTCCAGCTTCAGTTAGTCTGATTGATTGAGAGGATTCTCTGAACCGAAATATTGCATGTTGAAAGAAAACCTTATTTTTGTAGTTGCCAGGTGTTTTTCAATTGCAAAGTGTACAGTGTGACCATTTTTCCAGATGTGCGCAATCGAAAGTTTTTGTTTTGATGTATACAAACGAACTTTAATCAAACTGAGAGCCTCATCGCTTTTGGTTATCAGTATGATTCATAGGCGTCCGTCATATGAACAGTGCATTATAGGTTCAGAATGCTATCACAAGAGTTTGAAGTGCAAGTTTGTGAAGATTCTGTTTTCTATAGCCTGCTTGTTGCCACCAAAGAAAAAACAAATAATAATAATCGCTTTATTTGGATTGTTTTTATTTTTATTATCACATAAATTATCTTTCATATCACAGTATATTTTTCGATTGCATAACAATACACAGTATTTTGCAAGTGGTGTGATTAAATTGGTAATGTTTTAGGAGGTTAATAAATTGTGATATGGAATGGCAATGAGTAATAAAATGCACGACTTTCGATCTTTAGTATGATTCTCTGTCTAGAGATCATTAGATGAAAGTACAGAAGTTGCTAAAAAAAATTCCTACGTTCTTTATGATCTTACGATGACAAAATTTACATTGTTGACTGTAAATATGTTTGTAAGAATGAAGAAACAATTGATAACCCCCATTCCATCCTTCCTCATTTCCATGGAGGTGATCTTTCTAGGAATACTCGCTTAAAGGGTGATTGACAATACTCGGTAATGAGCAGAAATAGCCCGTCTTGATGAAATTATCTCTTCATGAGGGTTGATCTATATCTCATGGGTAGATATCATAATACAGGGGAACCAAGGCATTTTTGTTACTTGCTTGAATTTTAGTAAAATGTTAGTTGTAGTTCGTGAGTGATCTCTATTTTGAAATGAGTAATACAAACGAAACAATTCGTTCGTATGCATTGAACGATGAATAATGCGTTTACAAGAAACATTTCGCAAAACATTGCGCCAACGAGCCAACGACGACATCGACGGCAGCCGCAATCAGTGCTCCAACGGCCAAATAGAAACTGTATCCTGCCTCTGTCTTCATGTTTTGTTTAATGCTGTCTTCCGCTCCAGATTTGTCAACAGTCATACTCTTCGTATCAACCTTACTGATAACGTCGTCTGCAATTCAAATAGCAAGTTAATGGTTTGCACCTCCGCTTATTTTCACCGGAATTATTCAGATCTATTCATATCCACTGGGTGGAACTATGGCGGAGGCTGTTCTACCTCAAAATTCCTATCAGGCCTTTTGAAATTTCACAAAACTGCCAATGAAAGGGAAAAAGCTTCTCTAAACAATGTTTTTAGTCCCTTCTGCTTTACAGTTGTTTCTGTACCTCTCACCTTCTACATACTAATCTGAAATTGCTTGAGTCGATTGGAGATTGGTATTTTTATGATCTCATCCAATCGCAACACTACTCATAATCACATCCAACATGAATGAAGTCATTTTCGTGAACCAAGTCATATACCATCTTTGATCGTCCAATATTTGCGTGCACGATTTTTTTCAAGTGAAAGTGTAAAAATCTTGAACTCCAATTGCAAACAACCATCAACCCCAAGTATCTCAAAATAGGATTATTTCGGGAATAGATTCTGTCAAGTACATTTTCAATACAACACTCTCACAAAACTCACCAAGTTCTCAGATTTGTTCTTCAAGTCGAGAGAACTTAACTATCAGCAGTGCGCAATTAGCTGTTCTCGCAAAACTAAGCTAAACCTTAGAACTATCTTAATTATTTTATTGAAGTTGCTTTAATCTAAAAAATTTCGGAGAAGAAGTTTTAAAACTTTTGACTGCAAAGACAAAAGCAGTTTTGAAACACTTACCAAGGAAATGTTTGTTTTTGATCGCAAAGGTGACCACCGCAACGAGCAGGAATATCGAAATGAGAAGTGCCAAGACAGGCAACAAGAACATGAAAGCCTTCTTGCAACAGCAAGCACAAATTGTCACCAGTGTCACTACCAATGCTATCACCTCCGTGATCAAGGCTAGGCACATCATTGCGACAACTACTTTCTCCCAAGTCGGTAGATTCTGAAGGATTCTTTCAATCAGTTTATAAGTGAAACTTATCAATACTTTTGATCTACCGTTTTTGATAGTTTTGCGTCTTCGATGCTTACATATCTTCATCAGCTGTTTCAATGCATCGTTCATTTTTTGATGAACATTCACGTTTGCTACTTACGATTAATATGACATTTCTTCATTGATCGGTGCTCATTTTTGGCTTCTAATACAATTTTCTGTTGTTTGAATGAGCTGACGATTTCATGTAATATCTTCATATGCTCACGGTTTTCACAGAATCATTCTGTGAGCTTGATTAAGTCTAGATGAGATTCAGTTATTTCCAGCTTAATCTGATATGAGCGTTGTTACATCAAGACAACTTGGAAGATTTGAATATTTTAAAAACCCATTATTATAGTTGCATATTTCAGTTATATTTCCTCCGATTTTACGAAATAAGTTAAATTTTGCATACATCCAATGCAACTCACATTCCAAAAGTTTTCACAATAGTCTATACTGTTTTCATCAGCAGCGAGAATGAGGAGGGCAGTGGAGCCGCCATCATCTGTGGAGTTGTGAGGGGTGGATGTACCTTCGGGCATTCGACACAAGAACGGAAATATGCCGTTGACTTTCGGTATATTCACCTTCCCATCCTTGATCTCAGCCGTGATGTGAGACATATTTTGGAGTGATTCGTCAGTCAGATCTTTAATTTTCGTCCAACCTGCAAAGAAACTTTCAAGTGAAGAGATGTATGGAATTTCCGTCCAGATTAATTGATCGAAATTCAGTGGATTCAATGACCGAAAGATGCATCCAGCTGAATACTCCAGTCAAGCGTTTCAAAATTTATCATCATGTTTCTTCAAATCTTATCTCTGGTGTTGAATTATCTCTATCTGAGTCATTTATTTGTGTTCGAATTGGAATATTCACTCTGATATTACGAAGTGAAATTACTGCTCTGTTACTTATTCCAGTGCAACACGGCTGGCAACACTTATTTTCGTCATCTTTATTATCACTATTTTAACACATAGAATTATTATTTTTATAAGTGCTGTTATTATTATCATTGTTTTGATCATTATCTTCGTTATAATTTTATTCATTCAGTGTACCTGGTGAGAACATAGAAGCTACTGTTAGTCCGAGTGCGACTAACATCAGTGCTCCATAGACGAGTTGTCCAAGAAATGAGCAACACATCGTTACGGTTGTTATCTAAGCGATTTGGTACGGTTAGTGGATTATATGCGTAATCTGAAATTTCAACATTATAGTAACAACATCATCCTGATAACTGAATAAAACTGAACTGCATCACGTATCGAACTGATGCTCAAATTTTGGCGCAGACTTATGATGAGATTCGTGACGCACACTAAAGACGAAGACGTGAAAAAAAAGCGTAATTGAATTTCACAACAACACAACTATCAGTTTGCTCATATTTTTCTGTTAAGGTAGTTTGTTGCTCGTATTCTCTAAATTTGAAGCTGCTGCCATTAATCCTAAATATAGAACATATCCGTTTGAGCTTGAAGTCTGACCCCACTGTAGAAGTTGAGTCTAAACCTGAACTTTGTCAAACTGTTAATGTTGACCTTAATTGAATTTAGAAGCACTTCCATCCACATTGTGTTCTCATAATGAATGCACAATGTAAATATTGCTAATGTCGAACCGTATCATTATTATCTTTTATGTATCACACATAACATGTCTTCAGTCATCACAAAATTTTTTCCTCAGCCATTCAGAGTCACATGAGATGTTATCGTGCAAAAAAATAAATTCATGATGCATCATACGCTCAATGAAAGCCCATAACGCATGCTTACAATTGGATGTTGATCTTTCGATGTTGATCTTTCGACATTTTAACGTATCANATGAATCGTTTATTTATCAGTGATAGAATTCAAGCACGAAAATTATCATATGACACAGAGAGGCAATTTACGACTGTACTTGTCATATGGTATTTGGAACTACGCATAGAGCACAGTCAGTGTGATCAGCTAAAGTGCTTCTTTTAAGACATCGTATCAATGCACCAAGAATATTGTTAATTGAAATAGTTGATTTCAAAAACTGATTACATGATAGTATCAAAAAGTTCAGTTGAGTCCCTTCTCAGAACCATTTGAATCAATAGAACCATCTAGGTTGGTCCTAAAATAAAAATATGAACTTCTGTTCGACCCTTAAATAACTCTTCAAAAATGTTTCATCATTTCATCGAGCGATTCTCGAATTATTTTCTACAGCTTAGTCGACGGATAATTGGATTTATTCGTTCATTTAAATGAGTTTCAACTAGAACTGGACTCATAAAGTTTACTGAAGAACCGAATAAGTTCTCAGTGAACGCGATGAATGATCGTTGGCATCATAATAAACCTTTACTCATGAATAGTTCAGTCATAATATTCAATGATTTTATCCAGCCACAATATGTTCATGTAAAACTACTCAATACTTGTGCAGTAATACAACAGCGAACATTTCGAATTACTCGAATCACTCGTCAAAACTCATCGTATGGAATATTTTGCTTGATAAACTAGGAAATGAGAGGTATCTGTCGTTTCATTCGTTTCCGAAAGATGATGATGGTATCGTGATAGTTCAGCTGCAGAAGACAAATACAACGTGCGAGCTCTAGTTTGGTCACTGGAAGAGCACGAGTATTCGCTTGTGCAGTTAGTATTTCAGCTATAATG